AAAAAAAAAAAAAAGTTGCTGAGGGCAAGTATCTGTAACTCTAGGAAAAATAATAGTCTCTCTGAAAGACCTGTGATTCAGGATGAAACTAGGGGAGTGGCATTCCAAAACTGGGCTAGGTTCGAGCACAGGTTCGAGCTGGAGTCAAATCAGCTAGAGACAAATAAACCCAAAGACATGAAACTTGCCAATAACAGCAGGAAATAAATTTTATTTTAACATTTTTGGTGCATTATATGGACAGTAACATTAAAACAGTATTCTCCTGAGAAGGAGTGCCTCTTGCTATCACTGTTGGAAGCAAGCAGGAGAAAAAAAATTCTAATCATTTTTCAAACTGTATGAAAGATAAAATTTCTATATACTGTACAATAGCCATGTTATACAGCTATACATCTATATCTATATATGCTTATATTTAACTCTAACTATGGAGTGGAGACTTGGTCTAATCTAATTCCCCTAACATTTTATCTCTACCCAGGCTTCCTCCACACAGACAAAATCCACAAGCCTCTCACCATAGCAGTCAGTGGCTACTGGTGACTTGAATGGCTTTGAGATCAAGCTTGAAGTGCCCTCCTCTTTACAGAGATACGCATATTGCCAGTGTAGAGAAACTCCTCCTCCATCCCTAGTCTCATGAGTTTCAAATGCTCAAGAGCAGCACCATCTTCTGCGTAGGAGCACTATGCCCCTATGTAAAGGACAGAATTCCAGATATTGCATAACTTGGAATTCTTTCTCCTATATAATAGATTGATATAGAGAGATTTGGCCTATCTATTGCCAATCTTGTCTGTACATAGAACAAATTTGCCTCTGCACAGGGGTATCTTTCTCTACACAGAGGATGTAACACAGCCTCTTGTTCAATATAGCAAAACTCTGATGGAGAAGCCCTTACTTGAATTGTTTTGCTCAAAAAACAACAGCAACAAAAGAAATGAATTTTGCATAGCAAACTGTCACCTGCACTGTGTTACTCTGGCTCTGTGTAGCAGACCACTGTTCCTATAAAGCTGTATGGTAAGCAGTTCTGCAACAAGTTGTATTATATGAAGGGGCTAGGTGTATATTCTAGCAAACTGGCTTTCTGTCAGAGCTGGGAAAAACATCAGAGATCCTACAGACAGAGTCCAGCCTCACTTCTGCAGTAGTGAGCTAATAAGCTGCTCAGCTGAGGTGCCCCACAGAATGGGTGACCATGCCACTGTAAGTCACAGAGTGATTAAAAAACTTCAGACAACTCGGTTCTTCCACACTTACCCTATCAAATCTCTCCCTATCAAAAATGCATGTATATCTGGAAAACAAAGTTCTCTACCAGGCCAGTTCTCTACCAATGTCATTAGGAAGGAGAGATTGTAGTAGAAAAAAAAGGAGGGAAGGAAGCATTTTCTTCAAAATAATCTTCTTTTCACATTGAGAAAAAATATAATGCCATATTACTTTCAGTATTCCTCTTTTTGTTAACATTTGTGTGTGAGGGAGTCAATGGATTTGAGACAAAGAACTTCCCAGAGGTAGCTAAAAATGATCTGCTGCTGTACAGGGACAATGAAGTTTGTTTTGGATTGAGCACAGCTCAGTTCCAATCTTATCACTTCTCTGAGGCCAGCAGACACAAGGGGAAGCTACCATTGTGCTACCACACCACAAACTCAAGTTGCTCAGGAGGACTGGAGAGGCTATGAATGATCAAGCATATTAGAACTCATGCTGAGGCCGTGCAAGAGACCAAGGCCAGGAGGCCTAGGCCTAACCTAAGCCAAAGGCATAAAGGCTTGTGCTTCTCCACATGAGACTCAACTTAGGGCATCTGTACCATGGCATAAGACTACATCCTTTCTCCATTCTGGTCTCTCTGCAGGGGCAAAGCAAGAGGAGATGCAGCACTATTAAAGGACACCTGGGAGTTGAGCTGATCACAGCCTGGAAGAGAGTTTGGGAGAAAAGAAGGCAGCATCACATACTCTCAGCAGATTTAGTGTGTAACAGCAGCTACCATGACAGAATAGGAGAAAGGGGACTCTGTGTGCAGTACCTGAAGAAGAGGATGTGGGGGAAGGCCAAGCAGCAAGAAAATGGTGGGAAAACAAACAAAAAAGGCAAGCAGGACTTGTCTTGGTTATACACAGTGGATTATCTGAGTAGATTATTTCTCTTTTCTCCTTTCTCTTCTACTCATGGTATTTTACTGAGCATCACGCCTTCTGCGTTGCTGGTCCAGGAGCTGTCTGCAAGGGAGGTTCAGGGGCCGCCCAGAGCGGCGGAGACGTCGAGAAGGAAGGCCAGCCAGCTGGCGACAGATCTCATCTGAAGACATAGCAGATAAATACATGGTGACAGAAAGTCAAACCTTCCTTCAAGCTCTTCACCACCAGAATAACTAGGAGTACATCATTCTATCTACAGAAGCTGTCATACTGCTGAATCCTCATACACACAAGGGAGGTGAACAAATCCTTAGGTCTTTATTCAGGTTCTTAGGGCTTTATAAATGTACCACACATTAAAATTACTCACATATTGCTGCAGCAAGGGCTGCATAAGAAATCTGAACTGGATCCTGGTTTTAGTCATGAACAGAAATACAAGACTCACTCTTTAACCTCAAAGGAATGTAATTTTGAATAAGGGTGTGTTCAGAATTAGTAGAACATGATTCATTAATTGATCAAGATAAAGCAATGTCAATGCAGAATCAAGCTCTCAAAGCTCTTAGTACTGTGTATCTACCTCCCAGTGCTTCTAATGGCATGTATACTTGATGTAAGGCTCCATTGCACTAGAAGTCCCCAAATGAATTCTAAGGAATCTACAGCATATGGATTGGGAGGGGATGATGTGTCTATTCGTCTAACCTGTTCTAGGCTAGCTTTTTCTATTACTCACCTTGCATGACCTCATTCTCCTTGCAGACAATGCGAGAACACACCTCCTTGTTTATTATGTACATGCGACGCACACTGAGGGGATCACCAGAAGAGCGCCAAAATCAAGACAGGGTGTTGCAGATAGCCAAGGAGACAAAGAAGGGGATGCAGTCAATAAACATGTAAATATCACTTATGAGGTGGCAAATCTTGAAATCTTGTCCAAAAAAAGTTATTGTCAATAGAAAGATAGTCTTTGTGAGGATCTCATGATATATCCAAGTGTGTTAAATGACAACAATAATGATAATGAATATAGGATTCATCACAAAATCTTAGTGCTGCACAGATGCTGCACTGTTATACTACATTAATTAATCACCTTAAAAGGAGACTCTGAGGATGGGATTCATCACACCATCTGGTTTCCTGAGAGAACCTCTAGTCTCCAAATGAAACAATTGCAGAACTGGACATGTTGTGTTTGAAGAGAATTATGGCTTTTCTGAGAGACTGCAGATTTTTTACCTGGTAACACAGAGGTAGCTGATACACTGCTTCACTGGTTTATGAACAGAATAGAGGCGTGTGCAAGGGAACTGCTCTTCCCGACAATCTGAAAACACGAAGGTACAATCAAGCAATATTGTCAGGTGTGCTCAATTTGACAGAAAATAGAGGCCTTGAGAAGAAGTCTGGAGGGCAGTACTTTGCTTCTATTTTCCATTTCCTTGTGAAGGATGTGGATATTTTAGAGAAAAACAACAAAAAAAAAGGCAGAAATTTCTGAGCCCCTTGCTTCATAAGACAAAAATAAGAGGACCTTAAGTAAGAGGCAAAACTAGCCTGGGGAAAATCCTTAATAAAGGAGAAACATGCTTCAAAGGGATAGATATAAATAATCTACATGCAATTTGTAGTCATATATTTAAACACATGTTCCAATGGTTCTGCAATCTCATGCATCAGGACACAAATCCAGTTCTCTTTTGCTGGCAATCAAACCCATAGATCTACGACAGGGTTTCTTGCATTTCCCTCAGATATGCTGCCTCTTGGCCACTGACAATGACTGGACTTTGGCCAGGTGTGTCTGGTCTGGTGGTCTGCCTGTCACCCTAGACATGCTGCCTGGTGGAAGACTTTAGTTTCCACTGTTCTCATTTTCCCTTTTTAATTCAAGGAATGGGATGAAGTGAATTTTCCAGTGGGCCTCAGAGGGCACCAGACTACAGAGGTAACAGTGTAGGTGAAAGCGCAGTTGGGAAGGAGCTGTGAGAAGCAAACTTAAATGTACCTGATGCAGCTGTTGTGGCTTCAGTGTCAGACTGAACTGGAAGACACACAATCACAAAGTTAGGATGATTTACCTTTATTCCTTCCTATATATCAGTTTATTTGAAACAAATAACTGGAAAGCTCTTTCAAGAGCCCTCCATTGTAATTTCTGAGATGGAAACATTGTTAACATGAAACAGTGAAAGAAGGTACAAACTCAGTATGATTCTGGTGATAGCTATCTAGCCAACAATGCTAAAAATCTGGCAAGCTTTGCTATAAAGTGTTACCATTCCTTGCTCAGCATTACACTCTGCTTGTAAGGGAATCTTTAGTTAGAAAGCAAAAGGTTGGATAATAGTCCTTGGCAGCTGTAACTCCCAATTAGACGAGTAGGGAAGAAGCCTAACTCACTCTTTCTAGGGAACAATGAGTTCTTTAAGAAACGGCATCAATGGACGTACTGTTCCTTTAGTGTCCATGTCACCGGGACAAAAGGAAGTTGATTCATTGTTCCTTCTAACAAAACAACCCATCTGTACCAAAGTAAAAGAGTATGTTTTGTTACTTACCTGTCAGACACAAGTTCTCATCAACTTTAAATGGACTTGTACTTCTCTTGTTCATGTATCAGGATGTTAACCAGAATCACAGAGAAAACATATGAGCATAGAGAAAGACAGTATTTGAGAATTCCAGGTTTCATTTGGGGGCAGTAGGGGAAGGTAAGATTCGAACTGTGCAAGAGATCAGGTGAGGAGAAAGAAGGAGAACCCAAGTTATTCCGCTATGGACTGCGAATAGACTCACCAGGGCTAAGAAGGACAGGCGGTGTTACAGCTGCAGCTGGAGAAAGACAAGATTTTGAAAGATCTTGATTTGAGTTTTCAGACTCTTCCCCTTCCCACAGTTTTGCCATTTGCTCTTCATTCCTGATCTGCAGCTATCCCACATGTTTTTCAAAACATCATTAGAATCTACGGCATCTATTTGACTTGTCAAAATAACAGTATGCTTTCCCTGTGAATATCCTGGATGTCCTCAAGTTGGGGGCTGCTGTAGGGCAGATATGGGTCTCACAGCATATGCTCAAGATGAGGAGTTTCTTCTTGATCGTTCTACAAAAAGCATTTCAAAGCCTGAGTCTGTTGTCAAGGCTCAGGCTGTTACATTTAGCCTTTCCTTTCTTTTTCTCCTTCACATTTTTCAGATTTAGATGAAAGTTATCCACAGTCAGTTTGGTCAGGACACAAAAGGCCTTTAGCTATCCTTTTATAGACTGGCAGGCCTCACACACCGAAAAGATTCACATAGCTTACTGTCATTTCCCTTCAGGAAGAACATACCTTATGTGTACATATTATTATGCTTCAACTTTTCTACTCCAGTACCAAGCAGTCCCCCATGCACCTGTGACAGTTACTGGCTGGTGACAATCATCCAACTAGCTGATGAGCACAGTCACAGAGCAAAAGAGAGGTCATGGGTCTGTACTGTCTAGGAGAATGGGACATCCTTCTCAGATCTCCTAACACAGCACACTTCCCAGTAACAGCCTAGTATTGCTTCATTTCCTTTGTCTTTTGAACTAATGTACGACTCCCCAAATCAAATGACCAGAGGTTTCCTCCCCTTTCCTTGCTTTGCCTGATCTCTGCATTCCATAGCCCCAGCAGATAGAGAAACAATCACAGAGGTTAGCAGTGGGGGAGTCTAAATAGAAGTCACAAAGAAAAAGAGAGGGTCCTTTTTGAGTCTCTGGCCATCTCCTGCATTACCCACTGTGAGCCTAGTAGGATAAGCACACCTGGTAAGAGCATACACTCTATCAATTCCTGTGATGTGTCCCTGTAAGATATGAACCCATGCATTATTTACCCTTTGTCATTTGGTCTCTTCCTCCAAACTCCTCTGAAAGTTAAGAATGTATAACCTTCACACTTGATGTTTTTCTACAATGCAAGCATCTTCAGAGAACCAAGTGAGACTGGCATTTACTCGGAGAACACATTGTTATCTACCCATAATTCATCTCCCTCTGTGGAGCACAGACAGGAACTCCAAATAGTTGTGGATCCTGGAAGAGTACTGTTAGATGTCAGAGGAAGGAAAGAGGGCTTTCTGAGCACAACGAATATTTCCTGGAACTATACAGGTGAGAGTAAAGGTGAACAGGGAAAAAAAAAAAAAAGAAAAAAAGCCTGAAGTTGCTGACATATGAACTTACCTGAGGTGCTGATGAGCAAGTCAGTGCTAGGATCATCTAGAAAAGACAGAATGTCCTGAAAGAGCATGCCAGGAGTTTGTACCCTTTGCATTGCTAACCATACATAGCCTGAATCATCTTGCCGGCCATGCCAGGCTTATGCAACAGTGTGATCCAGGTCAGTTAATGTATAAATAGATAGTGCCCCTCTCTCACTCAGATTTATGCCCCTCATCAATGACTGGTCTGGGATTGGATTTCTTTACTGATGCATATTGTATTATTGAACTCTGGATTCATATTCTGACTTCTTGGACATGACCGCCATGGCCAGCTTGCCATGAAACTGAAAGCAAGGCACTGATGCCTCCTGCAGGATGATGGCAGACAGCTGACACTGTAGAGAAGAAAGGAGAAAAATCCAGAACCTTGCTGTAACTGCAAAGACATGTCAGCGTTTCCTCTGAAAAGTAATAGATAGCAAAACTGGTGTGTGTGTGGGGGGGTGTGATAGAGGGATAAAGTGTGAAGGGAGGGTCTGTGGATATGTTTTTGACTGGTTGCAGCTGCTGAACAATTTTCCTGGGAATCCCACACATTTCATGTGACAGGACTGTACCTGAGATATTTGATGGCTAAGCCAATAGCTTCAGTGTGAATTAAAAGCAGGCCCTTGTGGCTCCTCTGGGTACTGAAGCCTGGTGCAAAAACATATTTGTCTTATCATGTCATAGAAATGAAAAAAAAAAAAAAAAAAAAAAAGCCAAAAAGCCCCATAGGGATAAAGTGATTCACCCTCAACAATACAGTTAGGCAAGTTCTCAAAATGCCCTTTGTCAGCAGCCTTCCTGTTAGAGAACCCTACCATTTGTACACTCTTTTGCTCAGTATTTTCCTGAGCATCAGAAAAGTTGCCCTGATTTATTACAGCTAATGAATTATCAGCCCTCATGGGTCTCCCACAAACCTTTGCTGTGAATATAACTTTGTGAAATTCTCTGTACTCCAGGGACTCTTTACCCCGGACTTCAATACTAGTGAACTATTTGTAACCAGCTTACAGTACTTAGCAAGTTGCCTTAAAGGGCTAAAAGACAACCTCACAGTGGCAGAGGCAAAGAAGCAAATAACAGCATTTGCAATGAAACAGGTTGTAATTATAAGGGACACCTGGATCATATGAGCAAATGCTTAGGACTAACACTCCTGTAATACTTGCCAGTTATGGATTCTGGTTCTTGCCCGTGTACTGCCCATGGATACCAGTCTGCAAGAGAAGAGAAATAGAAATGAGTGATGAAAAGGCATAGAGATGTATTTCTACAGGCTGGAAGTGTTGTGAGATGCTTGTCTTTCCAGGAGACACCACTGCCCTCTGCTGAAGGGAGAGATGCTCTCCACTTCACCCTCCACTGTCAGCAGGATTTGTTCTTTAAAGGCTTTTGGATGCAGTGGCTCAAGGCTCTATCCCTGCTGCTTCTGCCAAGGTCCAAGGCCAGGCAGAGGCATGAAATTTTAGTGTCTCCAAGTCTGCTTCCAGAATTTCCATTTCTGCAACACCATTTGATACATTTTGAAAAACATTTACCCCTTGTCTCTCTGCTCTGGAGATTCATCAAAATCACTACCTCTATTTTATAAAAGAGGAAATTGAATCATGGAAATTGTTTACTTAAGGTCACAGAGCCACTGGCATAGTAGGAAAGAAATTGCAGATTTTGTAGCTCCTTACACAAATCATCAGCTATTCCACCATCCTCCCTGGTTATGGGACACTGCGAGGAAGAGCTTTCTGTTTCCACACCCTTGGTTCAACAGGAGAGGGAGAATGATGAAGTTTTTGCTGTGCATTCTGTGTGAAGAGGGAGGAATTGAAACTGAGACAGACTGTTCATTTGTTCAAATATGAAGACTGTTCCTCCAGCAGCCAGGAATAAGAAAATATTTCCTGCTAGCCACAGGGAAGGGAAATGTCTACATAACTGGAGGTGGGATAAAGGAAAGAGTTGGCAGGAAAGGACTGGTGATCTGGAATGCTGCAGAGCTGTGTGCAGGACCAGCTCAAAATACAGTACACACTGCTGTGTCTTATGAATTCAGCCTTTAGCTTTCTGTTGTTAGTGGAAACAACAAGAGTAAATATTATATGAGTTTTAAAACCTTAGTTTTTCTTTATTCCAAGAGCAGATACTTGCAGGCAGCAGAAATACACTTGGGATCCCTGCACAGTCCCACTCTGCAGCATTACAACACCTTGCTATTCCTTTCCTCACCCAGCTGCCAGCAAGGGCTCAGCTGCTGGCCAGGGAGAGCCAGACATGCCTAATAACTTAAGCACACAGTGTAGTGCAGTCCCAAACTTTTCCTGTTCCAGCTAATCTCTTAATGGCAACATTCAGAGAGGAAAAATGAGAATGTTCTTAGTTTGTTTCTGATACAGGAGGAAGGATTCAAATTCTAACTTCGAAACCTTTTCTAACATTAAAAAGCTAGGTCTTACTGGCCTTGTTCATGTCCAAGAATTGGAAAACTAGTTCAATTTTTAAAAGACAGGCCACAAAGAAGTGTAACCTCTGCATGTGAGAAAAGAGGGGAAAAAAAGGGGAAAAAAAAAAGTGAATTTCTCACCAGACTTTGAAACACTTCAACTTGTATTTGCTCAAGCACCCAATTATGATATCTTTTAAACATGCGGGAGGAAGGATTTTATTGTCCAAGCTGCACTAACTTCACCCTTGTCTTAAAAAGCTACCACCCTAATTCATCAAATCTATAACTAGACAAATAGCAAAAGAGATCATGAGAGACAAATTGGTGATTCCTCTTATTTTGTTGCTATTTTCATGTTAAAACAAAAATAACAAACCTTAGAACAACTGGAAAAATACACACACACAACAAGAAATCTTCTTTTCAGGTCTTCTTTATGCATCAGGAAGACTAGTAACTTTTTTTTTTTCTTCCCTGTAACTTTGTAGGCCACCTACAAGATCATATCTTGGATGGCTCCCATCCCTCCTTCACAGTCACAAACATGATATACTCTTTGTGGTAATAATTATGCATGTTTACGGGGAAAAAAATAGTGCAATTGGGAATATGAACAGGTTTCAGCTAAATCTCAGATCCAAGCAGTCACTGAAGAACAGAAGAGGTCCATCTGGTGACAACTATTTCAGTATAGGGAAGGACTGAGAGGAGTAGATTGACATACTGTGATTTGAATGTAATAGGTGCAGTCATCTGTTTCTTACAGCCTTCTCTGGGTGGAACTATCTCTATTCATTTGAATAATTTCTCTTTTGTTCTTTATCCTGACCAATATGTTTCTAATGTCTGATGCTATCCTCTCATTTTGTTTTCTTCTGTAAATTTGAATCCTCCTAAATTTTCAATGAAGAAATTTCAAGAAAAGATGTGAAGCAATAAAACAGAACAGTAACAACAAAAGCAAAGAAAGGTCTAGACTCCTGAGCTTAAGTTTGTCCAAACAACTATATAAAGTACTTCAAAATCCTTTGGCAACTGAATGGCCTGGAATTGGAGGCATCTCAACAGGAACTGTTAGTGACAGCAGGTGTTTCACAACTAGAATATAAAAGGTTATGTGAAGCACTGGAAGTGCTCCTCAGATCACAGAAACACGGGCTGTCAGCTATGTGAAGTACAGCACAAACTCTAATAATCACAAACCACAGCTAACACACTTTCTCAATCTGACTCTGGCTATTTCACTTACCTAATCTCTGCTGTGCAAACCTTAGACCTCGGTCTACTGTGACCTCTGCTGTATACTGCCTATATGCAGGCACATAAAGGAACCAGTCCCAGCTTCCCAAACTCTTCCACGTAGCTCTATCTCCACCATTAGTTTCCTGTTCAGTTTTTCCTCTACATCTACATGTATGTGTCTTTCTCCCTAGGTCATTGCACTTCAGTCTCTGCAGAGAACTCCAAGGGGGCCAGGATGAGGAAGAAATCCTCTCCTTGAAGTAAGAACTCACCAGATGGGGACAAAGAAAGTGATAAGAGACACAGCAGTATACAAGTTCCAGAGGTCTTCATCCCTGTGGAGGGGAGGACAGAAGTCAGAGGAAAGTTGAGGTGCGGGCGCTGTAGCCCAAAACCACTTTTTGCCCTCTGCCTTCATTTCCCTCCTTGGAAATTTTGCTCTTCCCAGATTCCCTCCCACCTAGCTTTCTTGTAATTTTGCCAGTTTTCCAGCTGCTGCTAAAACATTTTAAACTGAACATAGAACGCCAAATGCCTTGTTTCTCTTAGCACCTCCTTTCTTTAGACATTTTGCTTCCCTGTCTCCATCCTTTTTCTCAGCCATGTGGCTAAAGACTCCCCAGTCCCCCTCCCAGAACACAAAGAAATATTCCCCTTTGTTATCTCCCTCCACTGTCTTCTCCTTTTAGCTTATTCCGAGCAATGGTGAGAGAATGGACGGATTTCCAATCACTTACTGCAGCCTTCAGTCTTTGCTCCTTTCAGCAGCAGACGCTCTGTCTTCCCCCTTCAGCTGTTCTCCTCACTTTGGCCACTGGGTATATCATATACAGCCACTCCCAGAAAACGTTCTTTCAGTTGACTTCAAAATACAATTTGAGGGAAAAAAAAAAAAAAAAGAAAAAAAGAAAAAGAAAGAAAAGGAAAAGAAGAAGGCAATGAAGTGGTGGGATGTTGTGTCATCATGCAAATGGAATGAGGGGGGAGGGGGTGAGGAGCAGCTGCCCACACCCTCATTCCAGAGTTTATTATAATCCAAAAGGAGCCTGCTCCTCCCATTCCCTCAGGATGGTCCAGGACCAGGGATGGATTCCTCTGTCTACATTGTATATTTGCCTCCTCTTTTATTTTGTCTTCCTCAAACAGTTCTCTTTCTCCCTCTTCTACTTACATCACTACAGCTACCCTTCTTTTCCCACTGAGCCCCTAATTACACCCCATTCCTTTGGCTCTCTTTTATCCCTATTTTCCCATTTCTCTTACACACTGAAAATCTGCAGAGCTTGTACCATTTCTTTCCTAAAGAATGTGAAGTTTTCCAGTACTATGCATTTGAGAACAGCCTTCCCACCACCAATTTGGAGAAATTGCAGCACTCTTTCTGAGCAATGCCTTTAAAAAGAAAAACAAAAAACTGTGCCCCTAAAAAAAAAAAAGGAAAAAAACCCCTCTCTCTTCTACCTAAAGATGAAAAGGGGTGTTATAGCTAGACTAGTTGTAGCACTTTGAGTTAGTAACCTTGCCATTATCAATCTGAGTCAGTTCATGGGGAATGTCATACAACTTCTTACTATATCTCCATTTCTCTGAAGATCAGGTACCATGTTGAGCCCTATGACTGTGAACTTCATATTTTACTGGTGAACCTTAGGCTGGCTACTCTTTGGGACCAAGACTTCATGCTTTAGAAAAGTATAAAGTGCTCAGATTTCCCATGTCTAGAGTGCTCTAGAGCTTGGCCATAATAGCTTGTGCTTGTATGTGAACCACATGCATGACTGACAAGTTTAGGCTTGAAATGCACTTAATCTTTACTCTTTCCATCTAAATACTTTTTGTCAGTCTTACATTCTATCTTTTTTTTTCTCTACTGTCTCTGCTTTCTCCTCTATAAATCTTTTTGCATCTTTTTCTGCTGCTGTTCCCTTCATTTTTCTTCATCCTTGCCCCCAGCACTTCTCTTGATCCTGCCAAATGCAAAATCTCTTTTATTTCCAGAAATACTTGAGGGCTTGGGCACATCATAATTTGATTCAGTTTGCCATGGTGACAGAGCGAATTCTAGCCTTTCCCCTAAAATCCTATTGGATTGTATAACTCCAGAGACAGCCTAGTCCAGTATGTGCTGCAAGTGATGCCGCGCAGGAGGAATTCAAAATCATCCATGGAACAGGATTTAGTGCCAGAACAATGGGTGGGGACAGTGTGTTTAATGAACAGAGAGAATGGACATGCCCCACCGCCCTTTACTGCAACGGGATTATCTTGTACTTGGTGTTGGGGTCCCTGTTATACAAATAGTCAGAACTCAGCTTTTCAGAGTGGGAAAGACAGAGTTCTGTCCCTGTGACTGCAATGAGACTCCAGCTAAGCGAGAGGTGCAAAGCAAGTTGAAGTCCTAAGTGGTAACAGATGTATTACAAGGAGAGAGTAAAAGAAGAGAGAAAATAGGCCTGGATAAATAACAGAAACCAAAAAAAAAAAAAAAAAAAAGCATAGAAGGAAGACACAATCTTTCCATGGATCGCAGACAGATGGAGGGCCTGGCAGAGAGCCCATCAGCTGGCAGCAGGGGTGATGACATCAGCCCACGGGCGGGCAGGCGCCAGGAAGGAGGCTGCTGCGTATCCTCCCTCGCTGGCCACGGCCCTGGGAGGCTGTGGGAAGGGCTCACCCTGCCATCAGGGTCACGTCAATGCAGGCACCAAGCAGGGATTGGAACATGGGGCGATTTCTGCAAAAGGGGAAGGATATAAACTGAGAAAGGGAAAAGACAGACCAAGAGCAAGGACTGTAATTTATGCCTCTCTTCAAACTCCCTTGAGCTGCTCCAAGCACTCTCCATTTTATGAATGAGGGAGTGGTAAGTTCACAAGCCACTACTTACTCTCTCATATAACTCTTCTTCCAAGAGCCCTAGAATCTCCATTTCCAGCATTTCCAGTTTCTTTCTTAGTGGTTTTTTCCCCTCTCCTTGTTGCTCCTGGTTCTCTGGGTCTGTGGAGACACTAGTCGGACACTGCCCCTTCTTTGAGCTTCAAGTCACAATCTCGGACCCGAAGACAAGGCTATTTGAGGAGGAAGCTAGAAAATGAACGAATCTCCCTCCCTCATGCAGCAAAGAAAGACAGAAATCTTGGAAGGGAAAGATATGACACATACTGGCATTATGCCAGTAGCTGGGTAACCCTCATTTGTTCTCAAGAAACAGCAGGCTAGGAATAAAACCCAATAATTTTTAGTATAAAGTTACTCAGGAAATCATTACCATGTCTTGGCTACCATGAGAAAATTTGGAAAGTGTTACTTGCATGTGACACTGCTTTAACCAGCTTTTCTTACCTAAGTGTAGCTGGTAATGGCAATGCTCAAGAGAAGACAAAATCACTGCCTGTTCATTCTCATTTCTGGTCCTCCAAAATCTCAAGGGGGAAAAAACTAGTGCTGAAAGGCAGCAAGAGATGGGTAGAGGGAGAAGAAAAGTTAGGCATTTCCCTGCTCACCAGAGCAGAGTCCAGGACTGAAGCACCATCAGCCTGTTTTACTGAATCTAGACACCACCATTCACACTTCCAGGGACTGGCTAAAACTCAGTCCATGGAGGACAATCAGAAATTAAGCAAACAAAAGAATTGATGGAAACTGCTCCCAGTTTGAGAAATCCCTTCAGATCCTTGGCTTTTTATTGATGTCCAGGTTGTACGGATGTATAGGCGGGGCTACCTCTTTCCACATAGGTTGGTTTTGGTTTTAGTTTTCTCTGTGCCTCTGTCTTGTCATTCAAACCGTTGTTACTGTTTAACCGGTTAACTATGACACTGCAGATGAAGACCATCCTGAAATGTATTTATCTGGAAACTTTCATTGATGCCATACATTTTGTCCTGGTAGCGTATCACCATCTCACACAAACAGCAAGATTCCAAGATTCACCTCTGGTCCTGGGTAAGATTCCCGCTTTTGAACTTGAAAACTTTTTTTTTTTTTTTTTTTTTTCCCCAAGCTGCAAGTGTGTGTTTTCCCCAGGCTGCTCCATGCAAACTTATTCTAACAACACACCTCTCATTTGGACAGCTTGGTGCAGATGGGAAGTTCTTGGTGAGGGAGGGGCAGTTCAGCATTTTATGAATACCAGGCAAACGGCACTGAAAGAAATGGACGCATCCTGCTGCTCCTGCTCTCTACGGACACTGGAGGGAGCTGCAGCACATCGGCACTGGAAACCTCGTCCAAGGGAATCCTTCAGGAGGATTCCCTGTGTGCAGTTCTGTGTCTGAAGGCCCTAATCTAACATAAAGGCTCTTCTAGCTTGCCTATTTGTCAGCATCCGTTCTTTTCTAGTCACCTTGCCTTTTCGGGTAGAGAGAAAAAAAATCAGATATTTTTCTACCATCCCCATCCCATTCACAAAGATTGCAGGAGGGCCCTCACTGCTGGGAGATTACCATATTTAATGTTATTCTACACCTTCCCTTCTCATTTACTTTGCTGTCTTCTGCTTTACATGCAGTTGTTCTTCTCCAGGAAAGGAGGACTTGGGGACATCCACAGTGATCCAGCAGATGACTCAAGATAAATCATTCTTCCTTCTGAAAAATCCAGTATCAGTGCCATAGTATGATGTGAAGAACTCTGCAACAGTAAATAGCATGGGTGACTTGCAAGGGAAAGACTTCTATACATACACATCCCAAACTGCACTGACCTTGTGCCTGTAGGTTTTATAAATCAGAAGATCAGAGTGTGATTCAGCAAAAATTTGGCACTGATCCCTGAATGCTGCCAGGGATGCTGTAGTAATGGTGGTGTGATGTTTTAGATGAGGCACAAAATCTGCCTCTTGGAAATTAAAATCTCCTGGTGCATTTCACCCCAGGGACAACTGCAGCTCAGCAGACAAGTCACCCCAGTGTGCTTCATCTGTAAAGGCCTAGGAGAAGCATTTGAAAGCCATCTGATCTCTTTTCCTCTCACTGGTCTTCACATGTGCTCTCAGTAACTGGACGTGAAACTACATCTGAGTGGTGAGAAATTAATGAACTGTTGCAAGACATTTGAATACATCATTCCAATAGTGTAGCACTGGGTGTTCAATAGAACTGGTGCTATGAAGTGAGTTTTCTTTGGACCCCCACTGATGACTGCTCACTGCCAATGGGTTCCATAAATACCTAAGATCTGGCATCATCCCTCAGTTGTTCCACTGATGCGTCTGAGGTTGCCAGAAGGAAGGAACATGAATTCATGACCTGATCTGTCTTTCCCTCTGAAGAACCTGATGAGTCAACGAAACAAGGATGGCACTCAACTTAGGATGACCTAGAGCTCATTAAAGATTATTAGCCTATTAACTTGCACTCCCCTATCCTAATAATGAGATGATAATATTATGGTATTAGGGTTACTGCTTCCCTTCCACTCTCTATGATAATTAGCCAAGGCATTATAATGCAAGTGCAAAACTGTTACGTGATACAATCATAATATAATCAATGAAAAGATCTGTGTAAAGTATTTCCAGAAAGTGTGTTAACAAATACCAAAGGCGATCAGCAAAGGCGTGCTAGTTTTGTGGAGTTACCACATGGCACCCATCTCTGCAGAGATATGAAATAAATATCTCCGCTCCATGTGTCTATTGTCTCTCTACACACTGGGTTAAGAATACACTTTGGGGACAACAAAGTCTGACTTTGTATCCAAATCATTGCAGAGGTGGGAACACCACAAAGTTTGGGAGCCTGGATGTGACCCACCTCTACTGAATAAGTGACTATGTTTCTTTTGTCTTACCTATACACAAGAACGAGGAATTCTTCACCTCTTTATTTGCGAATCAGCAAACAAGGCAGGCAGCCTTGCAGACGCAAAATGCCCTCAGGGAGTGC